TATATATATATAAACTGTCCACTTGGAAAGAAGCCTGTATTGTGGTTATCATTCAACATATATAAAAACAAAAATTAACACAGACATATTTCAAAGCATGTCTTGATGTCTCATAATATGGTGGCACAGTGTTAAGCACAAACAGGTACCCCTTGATTTCAAAATTTTACGTCAGTAGCGGCATTGTATCTCCTTGCAATGATGCAAGCTTGGCATGTTCTACGCATGGATCGAGTCAGTTTTTTTCCCTTATTTTAATGAATTGTTTTGGGCAGTCCATTCCACCCTTGAATCAAAGCTTGTCCCAGTCGTTGTACAATGCCAATGTCGTTTTGGGAGCTCCCTCTTAGGCAGAGTCAGTTCAAGCGTAATTATTGGAAATGTGGCAAATGTTGGTCATTATAAGGCCTTCTTGATCGATGTTCGAATGTAATTTAAGGCCGTTGTATCCTTCTATCGCTGATAACTCTTCCATTGTTTGAATGAAATTGACGTGAAGAGCTGGTCGTTGTGAAAAAGTGATCTCAGAGATACCAGAGCAGTATCTGTCTGACTTCTTTGGCGGAATCGACCCGTGGTTCGCCTGGTCTGGTTCTGTCAGGTGTAACTCCGGTGATTTGAAACTAATCTTTCAGGATATTGATGGTAGGATGGGAGTAATGAGGGCATCCGCGCCACTCTACGGGCCGATAGTACAGCTAGGAGTATTCAAATTGCCCAACAGCGGTCCCGGGGGCTTAACCTTGGAATCTTGTACAGCAAATTAAGTCTACAAAAAACCCAGCTGGAATGTCTATGTTAATTGTTTTATTTTTCGGTTCTAAAATCGCTCATGTGTTGATCTAAACACAATTTAGACGATTTCATAATTTCGGCGGAACCTAAGTCACACAACATGAAAATTTGCCTGTGGGTCACGTGACCACGTTGTTAAACTTTTGTTCAGGAAAAAGATCAGTGCGAAGTCATCGTTGGGTACATGGTGAGTGATGTGCAAAATTTCGCTCAGTAACTCACGTGAACAAGGGTGCGTTACAAAAAACAAAGTTGAAAGTTTCTATTGCCGCTGGGTATATATATATATAATGT